CACACACACACACACACACACACACACACACACACACACACACACACACACACACACACACACACACACACGAAAGACAATCAGACTGGTAAGATACAGAATTGCAAAATTTCCAAGGTCCATAACCAAAGCAGGGAAACTAAATGCAAAAACTTGCATTAATAATTTAAGGTTGCAAATTTAAAAATGAAAAAGCAATGAAATGAAACTGTTGTGATTTTCATAGTAACATTAGCTTGCCCTTGTGGAACATCTGAAATAACTTTTATTAAAATGTGGTTATTAAAATACAGTTTGGTACATAGGGTATGCAGTTTAACATGGCTCTGAAGTCAAAATGTTTACATTTTCTGAATTTTTACTGGGAATTTTTTCCCAGCTTGCAGCCTTATCTCATTGTACTCATGTAGGGCTTGTAATATGATCATTGGTGTTTGTTATTTCTGGTCACATGCTCTGCCGTGGTCAGGGCTGTCTCTCCTGTCTTCCCACGAGTGGTCCCCAAGAACCCAGAAATGAAAACTGCAATGTAGTGCTGGTCAGTCAGAGGAAGAATTACAGTGGCTTTTGTCCCATTTTTTGTTGAGGTCTCACCCCTGTGATCACCTATTCCTTATATTAGACCTAGCTCTGTGAATGGGAAAGCAAAGAGTACACGGAAAAGTGACACCATGCCATGGTGCCTCTACCCTCTCTCCCCCATGGGAGTGATATTGGGCAGGCATTATGTTCTGTTTATATTTCCATGCATACTGTAGTTGCCAAGAATCTAGGCACATTAGTTATTTCAAGAAACATTCAATAGAAAAATGTTATATTTATATTTGCATATTCAGTTAATAACACTTGAACTATTGAATATACCTCTCTGAACTTAGCCACCCATCTGAACCACAGACTCTCAAGGATGTTCAACTTCCTGTCCATCTGCTTCACTGTTTTAAGTGTCTGCTCAAAAAAAAAAAAAAAAAAGATTTTGCACTTTCCACTGGAGGATAACTGAGGGGGCCCTCACAGAAAATGAGCTGCAGGCAGCTCATTCCTATTTGATCTAAAATGACTTCAGCTGGAGCACTCTGGTCATATTGTATTGGTAGTGCACAGGGGTATGGGACAACTTGAGCAGCAGCCAGCCCTGGGCATGAGATCCAGGAAATCCCTGTCACCAGACACACCATGCTCTGGACTCCTGGCTCAGGTCCTTGTTTGATTCTAAGCTACAGCCTTTTGTTGCTGGGCTGGTGTAGGTGACACTTGGTTGTAATGTTTCTATTTAAAAAGCAACCCAGTTTTGAGCTCAGGAACCAAATGTCATTGCTTTGGATATATATGTAAATGAAAAAAACAAAAGCACGGGAATGGAAGAGCTCCTACACAGCTTCAGTACAAAAGAAAATCATTAAAGGGGCCTGATCTTGACCCATACCTCAAGCTCCTGATAACACCAGCCGAGCCATTCTCAGCAGGTTTTAATCTGACACAGATCCTACCTTCAAAAGGAGCCCTGCAAATTCACCAGGTGCTCCTCCCTCTGCAGGAGCTGAGCACCTCCGGGGCCTTCTTTCTGCTGAAATAGGCTGGTTCGGAGCAGCAGCAGCCCATGCAGAGTCTGCACTCTTGTGAATTTTCCACATGGTGTGTGTGCAATAGAGAAAGGGGCCAGCACACAGCTATGGAATGAATATTGTGGAGATGGAGGGAGCTGACTGGAGAAGAAGGGACTGAGGAGCCAGGATTTGCAACACTACCGCCCCCCCAGTAAGGCAGTTGCAGAAGCTGTGTGCTGTCAAACATTTGACAGAATCTGCTGTCAAATCTAAGTGCAGCTCTTTCTCTTTGCAGACACTGAAGCTGCCTCAGGTGAAGGAGCCTCACAAGGCAGTAAGTACTAACTTCACTGTATGTGTGTGAGGGGGGATTGGGGCTCAGAGGTGTACTGAAGCACAGTACAATGTTTGTGGGTGTGGTTGTGGGTAGGTGTTTCACCCCTCACCTGGTGAACCACATCTCTTTTTCATTGTCTGTTGAGTGATACAGGTAGGCTTGTTTGTGATATTTCCTGACTCTCACCGCAACGTTGGCATTGCTGAATTTAGATCTAGCTTGTTACTTTCCTCCTGTTGCCTGGGGTCCATATGCCAAGGTGCTCAATGAAACGTCAGATACGTACACAAATCAGAGGAGAGATGTGGCGGGGTCTAGCACCACAGTAAGAATTGGTTCACGCGACTGTTCTCTGTTTTAGTAGCCAAGATGTTTTAAAACCACGGCAGGTGAGTTTGGTAGTGTTGGGAAGGGACAGAAGGGGGTGACCTGTGTACTTTCATCAGAGGTCCCGAGGCATACTTTCTGAGCACCTGTAATCTCAGCAGCTCATGGCCCTGCCTGCCTCTGCCTGCTAGTTTGAGCATGCCAATTCCTGTATTTGTTCAGATCTCGCTTGCGTTTCTTTAGCCATTCCTGTCTGGTAACTTCTGTCACATCACACTTTTCCATAGATTACCACAGGAGGGCAGCTTCCACTAAGCTAATGAGAAAAACTTCCTTGGTGAGACTCATTAGAGCGATGCCGGGAAGGTGCTTTGCTGGATATGGTATATATGTAAAAGCTGATGGAGCACACCCCATTAATTCCCTCATCACCTTTGTTCCCCTAGGGCTCCTATTTCTCTCCTTCTGCTGGCTTCCCCTGACATAATGTTAACTTGGTTCTGTGAACTGCAGCTTAATGCCTTTGACCTATTCCAGTGCTTTCCCACTTGGGAATCATTGGCCCTTGGGGTGCTTTCACCTTGTACCTTTTGATTATAAAACCCACAGACACAGCTTTGAGTGATTCTGTGTATGGGGAGCGAAGTCAAAATGAAATGGTGTCACCTCAGTGTTTCCTGAGATGCTTCTTTCTCACATGCCTTTTTCAGTGCCCTCCTGTGGGGCTGAGGTTGCATCTGTACTATACAGACATTTGTAGCTGAGGGCATATTTATACAAAGTGACTGCGGTGCAGTGTTGTCAGACCTGAGCGAGGTCTCAGCTAACTTGGGTACCAGCAGCAGTCTGGTCACAGGGTGGGTCGTTTACCCTGTTGAGAAGCAGATCTGTCAGGAGGCTGCTGATTCCTTCATCTCCACAAATCCATTTTTCACAGGGTATAAAACTCTCCTTTACATGTGCAGTGAGTGGGACTTTTCCCAACAAAAAAAAATCTTGAATAGCTAGCAGTATGCTCAGCTATCTCGCTACATAACAGCTGCACACGCTGTATGCTTGCATGTGTTGGAGGTTGCCTGTCACCATCCTAACAGCAGCACAGCACAGGGAAACCAGACCAGAACAGAAACAAGGTCATGTCATATAAATCCAGAAAGCATCCACTAACTTAGCCATCTTCAGTCTCCAAAGTCATACCTTTTCTCTTCAGACCCATTACCATAGTAGTGTACAGGATAAATAAACTTGTAATTTCTAAGCTACTTTTCCTGTCTGGAAATGTATTTGGTGTTGCCACGTCTCGCAATTTTATCAAGAGCCTTGTGTTATTTCATGTCTGTCTTAAAGCCACAGCTTCTGGAGGCATGTGATTAGGTAAGAATCCCATTTTTTGTTAACAAATAAAAATAAAAAGGTAAGTTGGTAGGCCCAATAGTTGTAGAAAACAGCTTGGACGTGTGATGCAAATTCATCCTAAGATGCCAAAAAACAGAAGGCTAACTAAACAACATGCAAAGTGTATCATCTAAAATAAAATGAGAACTTTTTTAAAAACCTTTTTAGGTTTTTCTGGAGGATGTTTGAATGGCTAAAGCTAGTAGTAATACTTTGGGCCCTGGTTTAGGCTTCTCAGTCATGTCCTTCCTTTTAACTTCAGTGAGCAGTGCTTTGTAGTGCATTATCAGGTAGGTTTCTTCCTGCACCTTTCACAGTGAAAATCAAGCTCTTTGGTCATTTCTTATTTCAGTTGGTGCTCTGTTGTCCCTGATGCTTCCCTGTTTGCCCTTAGTGAGACCCCAGTCTCTTATTTCTGCTCTTGCTGAAGAGAGTCATTGGGCCTTGTTGTTGTTTCCTTTTCCTTCCAATGAGACAGGTTTAGTTATTCAGCTACATAATGCGGACGTTTAAAACATACTGAGTTTCTTCAGTGTTTAGGATGCTCTCATTGCATCTTGTATAGGGAAGGCCGTCTGCATGTTCAGAGTATCAGATACATAAGGAGAGGAGTGGAGAGCAAAACACGCAGGAAAAGCTGGAGGGTTTCATACATGTATTTTGTTCCTGTTATGGCGAGTGTATACCCTATTCTGTCACAGCCATTGATGAACTGACTCTTCAGCTGGGGCCGATGGCCCTGCAAGAGATAGACAGACCAGAAGAAGGTTATAGGTCTTGAAGAAGGTAAAGGCTCAGAGAGGATGAGTGACTGAAAGGACCTTTTGTAAGCACCATGCCTGAGGAGAGCCACTCAGGCAGCCAATAGAGAGGGTAACAGGATGTGAATAGCAAAAAAGGAAGGAAAGAACAAGGCAGGCAAGGGATTGGGAAGGGCCACTCTGCTTGCTTTGTACAGGGTCTCTGGACAGGAGCCCAGAGGAGTTGGGCTACACATGCCAGCCAGAGGGGTTTGAAAGCTTTAGATCCAAGTGTCCAAAACCTGAGACTGTTGACCCTCAGAGTATAACCGTTTCCTTATAGATTTCATCGACTTCATAGACATTAGGGCTGGAAGGGACCTCAGAAGATCATCAAGTTCAGCCCCCCGCCCCAGGGGCAGGAAGTCAGCTGGGGTCATAGGATCCCAGCAAGATAAGCATCCAATTTATTCTTGAAGGTGTTCAGTGTACGTGCTTGAACCACCTCCGATGGCAGGCTGTTCCAGACCTTGGGGACTTGGACAGTAAAGAAATTCTTCCTTATGTCCAGCCTGAAACGGTCTTGCAGTAGTTTATAACCATTTGACCTTGTCATCCCTTGGGGCGCTCTGGTGAACAAACGCTCCCCCAGAAACTGGTGGTCACTCCTGACAAACTTATAGGTGTCCATCAGATCATCCCTGAGCCTG